ACTCTGCTTACACCATCCTGTCCCATAAACCACATCAAATAGATGTAATCTATACTTATTTTACAGAAAGCTGTACATGACACAAGCTGCTGTTCCAATTTTGCCTTCACTTGAAACATGTTTCTCCCAAGACATTTCACAACTATTGGACAGAAACGACACCTGGACAATATGGTTTCACTTAGATTTTAAGCTTGGTTATACAATTACATTCTGCCAGTTAGTTCCCTGCGATGTCATGTTGGTACTGGAAGGCAGATGATATTTTAGCAAAATAAAAAAAAAAAGTCTCAAACTATATACTGCCTTCCCTTTTGTTCCTCAGGTTAGTAATAATATTCCTCAATAGTAATTTCTGCCCCCAGATTTTTCTAAAAAGTCTGACTTAACAAACCAGCCAGAAATTCCTCAAAAAAAAAATATTAAAAAATAAATTAAAAAAATCACTATTCAATTCATCTGATGCCTCACTGAAGAGGATATATTCCACACAATAGTTTCTTTCATGATCTTTCCTTATTTGCCTGAACATAAAGCCCAATGATCTCTGACTTCCAACCACTTTTTCTAACTAGCGAGCATCCTGTTATAACACACATATCACAGTAAGTGACAAAAGAAAGCACAAGGATCAAGCCATAAAAAAAAATGACAGTAATATTCTTCATTCTATTTTTTATTCTAGCCATCACTATCATATGGTATATGCAAATTTTATTTGTATTTAGAATACACATGCTTACAAAAATTAAGCCTTCATTCTGGCTCTAAAAACTCAGTAGATTACCTTCTGAGAGTTTAGAAAAGGGGAACACCAAAAATATTTCCAAAGGTGGCTTTACTCACTAGCATGATTTTACATTTTACTGTATTTGCCAGTGGGCAAATATTTCCTGCAGCATAAAGCACCTCCCAGCCTGTCTGAAGTGAGGATGACGCATTATGTCACTTTGTGAAGCTAAAGATTAGACTGGAACTTAAGCTACCATCTAATATCACAATGCTTTCACTTTGAGGAATCAAAACCATGACCATGAAAGAAAAAACTTTCTTTAGAAATAATCTTTAGAATAATTCATGCCTACTTGGTAACAGCAGTATAGCTGCATCGACTGAAAAATTCCAGTATCAAAGATCTCTACGCCAAACGAATTGTCTGCCAAAATAACTGAAGTATAATACAATACTCCCTTCAGTAATCATTCTTGTGTTTAAAACCAAGAAAACTCTTTTATTTTTCTACTATATAATTTTTCTTGTAGTTTAATCATAAACAGGTATTCTGAGTTATCACCAAACTTAGAGATAAGCTAGTTACCTCAGTGACACGACTTCAGCTGCCTATAAGACAACAGCCTCAGTGGCTCACCAGCCCCCTAAAGCAAAAATGGGAGCTCTACGAAACAGGGAATTAGTATTACTACAGCACAAATAAGGAAAACGCTGGCTATGAACTTCCACCTATGCTATTAAGCAAGATACCTTCTTAGATTCAGAAACATTTGTAAATCTCAACCTTTGTCTCCCATGAACATGGTATGACGGTTGAAATGGCTATTGACTTCACTCACACATCAAAGGTAATTTAATTTTGCAGGTCAGTCCAAAAAGGACCTTTAGCTAATTTAAGCCTGTTGAAATATATATGGATTTTTTTGTTTAAAGCTTTAAGGAAAAAAAAAAAAAAAATCAATTGAGATGCTGAAAGCATTTATTCAATTTTCCTACAACAAGGTACAGCATTATCTTGTTAAATGACCGAACAAACTTGCCACTCAGGCCACGAGACACCAGACACCTTGCTCCTTTTTTTTATTCGTACTAACAAAGCTCATAACTGATTTGAGACAGGCTAATGTGTATTTAACATAAAAAACAATTTTTCTAACACATTATTTAAAAGAACAATAAAGACCTATGCACCATTCCATAATGGGTTTAAGATGATTCTGATCCTAGCCCGTTAGATTTGCTAACTGCCTTTTTTAAAGCAAAAAAATAAAACCAAAAATTGATACAAAGAGCTCATGTAGCTGTTCAATTTCATTTCCAGGAAGGCTGAGCTATCCGCAATTGCTCTTACTGTCACAGGAGCTTTGAACATAGTTGTATGTATCCAGTAGATCATAATGTCAACAACTGCTTTATGGAAAGGTCCTCTGTTCACCTCTCTTTAGGGACTCATTATGATGTATTATTTTTGCACAAAATCCAGGAGTATATTCAGAGGATAATTTTTGAACCAGAAGGACCAAACCTGAACAGTTAACAGGTGTTAAAAACAGGTGAGCTGTCAGAAAAAATGAGAATGTATATGAAATAACAATGCTCGCAGGAGGGCTGAGAAGTCTATGAATTACAAAGAAAACATTTATGAACAAGCTAAACAATTTGGTTACCTTTCTGACAATACCTTACTGTGTGGGTTTTGTTTTGTTTTTTAAAGGAACAAACACTCTGTAAATGACCTTACAGAACTCGGGAAAGTAAAACCTTTTCGTCTCAAAACTTTTGAAAATGTAAAAGTGATTTGCATTCCTTATCAGAAATACTTGCCTTACTGCTTGAGTTCTAGCTCTTTTCACATTTTAAAGCCCCTTTGAACAGAGAGACTTGACCTACCATGAGGGTAAAAGTCACAGTTCACCAAGCTGCAGCATCATCAGGGCTCAGTACCCGAGTAACTAATTGCTGCATTTGATCTAATAGTGATCTGTCACAGCAACTAACCATACGTTCTTTTCGTGCAGAGAAGGCACTAATATCTATACTTTGTAAGGGAACTCAGAAGTAACCACACTGATGTAATTCATAGCTCTTAGAACTTCCTTTCAGATGTTGCTTCCTTCCACGATCTCCAGTCAGATACAATACAATCACGCTTTACATAATCTTGACTGTTAACTGCTGAACATCAATGAATGTAACATTCTTAGCAGCTGTAGAAAAGACTTAGCTTTCAGTTCTGTACCTTGATTTGTTATTTCAAGAAAATTGTACTGGACATTTACATAGAGTAAAAGAGTTTTAGAAGTGTCTGAAATACTTAAATGTTGCTACACTAAGACAATTATTTACAAATATTTTACAGAATCTCACCTCCTATTTTTATTAATTACAGAAAGCAATATAGCCTTGGACAGCACTTCTACAGAGTTTACCAACATAAAATACAATGACAAGATACTAATAAGAAACAACGGTAGCACATGTTAATTTGTAATGAACACTGAGAGACTGATAAAAAATGTCAGAGCTCACAAAAGAGCATTCAAGGCAAGACTGAACACTATCACGTCAAGCAACAGTGAACTCTGGACAGAGATGAGGAAGATTGAAATACGTAGCAAATCTGAAACTTGCTGCTGCAAATATGAATGAACCAGCACTTCTGGAATTCGGTGAAACCATCAGTTTGATCTCTTGATGACAGTCAACGACAAACTGTTCAAAATTAGCCCCTGCACTACCTGTAGATACATACTTCAATCTCTCCCAGGATTTATTTTACATCTATTTGTAGACTTTGCAATCTAAACCATTTTTCCCTCCTTACTGTATCATGGAAGTAAAAAAACCAAGAAAAAACCCCAACAGACAAACAAACAAAAACTACAAAAAAAAAAAAAAACCCACACCCAAAAAGTACTTCTCCCCATTTTTCCTTTTCCAGTAGGCAGCCAGAACTAAGCATGTCTTCTTTATAAAGATGAAATCTGTAGACATGTGCTGCAAGCATACTGTTAGGAAGGTCTCTTCCTTCAAAAGAAGGTCTCTACAAAAATGTAGTTACTGCCAAAATTTGGTAGCTATTGAATCATTTTGGTTTTCTACTTTAAGCCTCCATCTCCCATGTTATTCATGAGTAACCTACTCCATCTTTGCACAGCACTTAGGGACAGAGGTGAGGTTCAAATACTGATATGGAAAAATAATTAGCTGTCAGTTTCTCAGGAAAAAAAAAAAGCTAGGCAAGGGAGGGGTGTCACCTTTACCACAATATACAGCAATTCTGAATAGCTCAGCCTTCCTGGAAATGAAGTTGAACAGCTACCTGAACTCTTTTTATCAATTTGAAACCAAGAAACTCTGAACAGAAATGCTTGAAAGGCAGGCAAAAGGAAAACTTTGGCTGGAACCACATTCTAGTTTTCTTTAAGAGAATTTTATTAGAACATGAAATACTAATTTAAAGATTCTGAATCTCTGCTTTCATAGCTTATTGAAAACACTGAAGAACGGCATATTTTAGAGAAAATCCACTGCTTGAATAAAAAAATTACACTGAACTGATTTCCATTGGATACACAGACTCCACAATGTTTCTATGGAATTAAAACAGATTGCCCTTCACCATAAATCAGGTTATAAAAAAGCCAACACTTGCCTAAAATGTAAGCGTAACGAAATCTAGATGAACATTTATCCAGTATTTTTAATGTGAACTGTTGCTGAAATGTCAAATAGAGAAGAATGACTCAGGCTGGTGCAAAGGGATAAAGTCAGAATTACGGGACATGAGTTTGTTTTCACAATAAATAAAAATTTCTTGCTGATGAAGATACACTAGGCCACCGGTTTTAAATCTTCAGCAGACCAGTTCTATATAACCATTCATGACTTACAGCGTTCTAGACTAGAAGAAACAATCTTTCATCATACAGTCAGTGTTGACTGCCTCACTTATCAGAAGTTTCGTAAGGTGGGATCATTGTTCTTAGCAAAATGACAAAATACCACTTGGAACAGAGTGCTAGAGCAGACTGTGCACTACTGCATGGACAATACAGAGCAATTCTGTACTCATGGGCACGCGTGCTAAGTGATCTCAAAAGTGTATTCGCCCACCTTTAACTTCAATGATTCTAGAAATTGCTCAAAACTTACAAAACAGGAGCAATTATTTTCAGGTCAGTTACAAGTAAGTCACCACAAATGACTGAAAGTTTCATGACATCACAACTTTGGTTACTGAAAGATAAGGGGAGCTTTCCAGTTACCTTTTTTACAGTCTTGTCAGGTTCGAGAGCAATATCTGGAATGTTGGCATCCACCATGAGGGAAAATAAGTTCAAGATCAAGTTGGAATACCTAAGCAGAAGAGCAAATTAGGTAAAACGCTCTGTAAACTATACAAAAGACATTTTGTAAACCTTTAAGAACACATCATCACCTTAGTGCGAATTGGTAATGCTTCAGAGGAGACAACATTCATAACACTTCAGCTGAACATATTTATGTTAGAAACAAAAGACACCTGATATTAGCAGTGAAAGTTTAACCCTCAGACCGTATCAAACTGCCAAAAACTGAACAGACTGCTCTGGTTTTGTTATAATTTCCTAAAAATCATCAGAACATTTACTCAAAGACACAAATATAAACTCTGATTTTGCATGTTGTAAGATTTGCTGCTACTTTCTACCTCTAGTAGGAAAAACATATGCTAGAATATTGATTCAAAGGTTATTTTTTATTGAAAACTATATCCGTGATATAGCAGTATAATATAAATTAGCACTCAAACAGCTGAAGTCTTCACAATTTCAAGAAATGATTTTTCAAGTTGCTGCAAGGATTTTTGCCATAACAAGTTGAATCTAAGTGATTTAACCAGATCCAAGTCTGCAGTTGCTCAGCTAAGCCGCAATAACATTGGCAGGTATGCTACACTCATGAAATACACACGTCATTTATAACCATCAAAAAAGACAAGGCACAGTATAGTTTTCAGTTTTAACGTGGTGTTGGAAGTACTCACAAATCTTATAAAGAACACCATCTTGCCCTTGCAGGAAATGAGCTGTAAGTTGCTTTTTGAAAGGATAATTTTCAAGCTGTTCAACGTAAACTGAAACTTCCCTTCCTCTGTAAAGAGATCTAGTCACCTTTCAGAGACAAAGTACGTAAACTGACTTCAAAGTCTGAAATACTGCTTTGCTAGGAGCACTAGGAGCTTCACAGACGATAAAAATTAAAATCTGAGCAGCAAAATTTGTTTATTAGCAAGCTTGTGAATATATATAAGCTGACAATTGCAAGGAGTACAAAGTATTTTAACTACACAAAAGGACTGCTTCATAGCCATGTTTTACAAAGTAAATACTGCTCAACAACAACAAAAAATTTCTAGAAAAGCATAACTCCATCAAAAATTCTTGCCATTTCATTATTATCTTGAACTACTAACTACCACATTCCAATAGAAATTTTAACTCTTTATAACACAGTTACGACTGTTTGGGCAGAAATCTTCAGCGTCTAATTTGTTTCAGCTGTTCTGCTTCACTTCCCCAGGGGCAAGGGGCTGGAGTGAGGAAAATTACTTTTATCACAGATTAAAAGAAAGAAAGGAAAGTTACACTACCATCTTGTTTCAGATCTGCTAAGAAATCTGGCAGTCAAGTTGTTTTGCTGCCAGGAACAGACGCCACAGGTTTTAATGACAATTTTTTCTACTTGCCTGAAACAAGCAAATCTCACTTCAAACAAGCTTAGATCTTACAGCTACAAGGATCTCAAGTCTCCTTCTAGGTCACCGGTAGCTTCCATTGGTAGTTCGCCCTGTGAACTGACCCGTGAGTCCAAAGTCTCAGAGTCACTTTTGGTCTTGAGGGTAAGAGCTTACGAGCCCTACAGGTTACTGGGGTTATTTAAGTGAAGGAGGACTGGAAAAGAGATTTCAAAGGTCTAAGCATCATTGCTAGATGCCAGTGAAGAGCTGGTTCTGTTCCTCACAGTGAAGTCTTTTGGTTCTTGGTGCTTAAAGTAAAAGCACTGGAAGCATAAGATCAACTGAAGAACCCCATTTAAAAAAAATGAAATTTAAAAAAAAAAAAAAAAATCAAGAAAAGGTAATTTTGGGGGGAGTATGGACTGGCAAGAGACAAAAATTAGGAAAGAGTTGCCCATATTTACCAGCCCCTTTGCATACAGATGTCCTAAATCAACCATTATTGCTGTTGCCATCACAATACTCTATCAAATTTGAAGACACAAACTTCCACTAGAAAGACAGGACAGGAAAGGATACAGTTATCTGCAGTCCCAAACTAAAGCCCTGTTTACATGGTCTAACTCAAAAATTCCTAAGTATAAAATGTGATCGCCTTTTCTGCAGTATAACTTGGGACACCCCCTGGGACTTGTTTCTTCTTTTCTCAAGGCTACGTATACTCCATATTCACCATCGTGCCCCAGCTAGATATAATAAATTATGGCATTTATTCTTCCAATAGTATTTCCTCACAGTCCAGACTCAACCAATACTGACTTGATCCTATGCAGTTTCACCTTTGCTCTTCCCTCCTCACCATCTGCCCTCAGCTTTTAAGAAGACTATCTATATCCTGCACTGCCTAGCTACAACTTTTCCAGAGAACTAGCACCTCCCAAGGGCCATCGCTGCTTTCCACTTGTTTCCTATAGTGTTTCTCATTCAGACCTATACAGCCTCCTCTATCCACTACACCATTGAGAGCAGACTGGGGAAAAACACTCTGGTCCAGCCAGATGGATATCCCCATCCATACACAGAAAACCTCAGCCCAGACTCCAGCTTCTCTCCCTAGTTATTTCCTACTCCTTTGTCCTTACCTACGTCCACTAACTCAAACTGAACATCAAATTTCTTACATGACTAACACAGGGAAAACCCTTATTTGGGAAGGACAATACAACCTAGAACCTCACCCTGGGAAAAATTCCCAAGTGCTGCAGCTGGATTCTCCTCAGCTGGATCCTGCTGAGGATGTGTAAACTGGGAGTTCTCGGAGGAAAGGAAACGCTGACACAGAACAGGCCTCAAACATCTTTAAATAGGCTCAATGTGTATAACAAATGTCTAAAAGGCTGCTACTGCCCAAGTGAGGATGCAGATTCTGCCGCCAGCCACAGTCTGCCCTGCAATATATTCAGAAGGCAGAGGATGCTCCTTCATTACACAGCACCGCTGACAAACACACATGACTTACTTTTGTTGTTCAAAAAAAGTGGAAAGCATCTTGCCCACCCACCAGGAGAAAAACCCCAAAAAAACAAAAAACCACACACCAATGATCATAAGAGAATTGCTTCCAACCTAAAATAATGAACAACAGTATTTTTCCACTTATAAGTTTTGAATAGTTTTTGTTTTCACTATGCAACACCCATTCCACTAGGAATCCTGGAAACACTGAGATACAGCACTTGAAAGATGTAGGGAACTGTCTATACCCCAGGGAAATAAAGAAGGAGGAATAAACCACAAATTGACAGAGATAACAAACAGAGTTTCCATTTTGTCTTAGCAATCAGAGGTTATGATTTCACACTACTTAGCCTGAAGAATTATCTGTGAACGGGTTTGTGTCAACATGCAGAACTGTTAGAACTAAGCCATTCCACCTCTAATTACTCTTTTTTCAATAAGCAAGTAATCTTAATCATTTTTAGTTCTAGCTGCTTAAAGTAATAGTTATAATAATACTAACATTATCCTATGCTGTCTTTGTTGAAAGCCCTAAAGATATTTATCCAGAACTATTTAAAAATACTTTCCTATTAAACTGAACAAATATTGGAGAGGCTGTAATTACAACTACAATCCCAGACATTCAAAATGAAACCATCTTGATTTACAGTTTAGCTTTATACCCAAATTACTGCTATACTCCACACTTAATGATGATCTTTGTAGCAAATCATTGCATAAATTATTGCAATGGATAATCCTTCACTGACTCAACAGACCTTGCCATTGAAACAGTTAGGTTTAAACAAAACAAATCAAGTACTTGACAAATAAGAAATACAGTATTACAAAACAGTTTTAAGCAAAATTTAAGACGTGGAATATACATTAGTCTTTCTGATTGTTCTCTGAAGTCATGAATATTGTTCGCTAATAACATGCTGCTGTTTTTTCAGGCTGCTGAATTGCTTTTAACCAATTAATAATGTCAGTTCATAAACCAACTCCTTACTCTTTCTTCTCTTAAAGAGTGGAAAACTACATGCAGCACTTTTTATTTCACTGACTATCTACTTTCCATACTACATGTACTTTTCACATACGCTTTTCACATTACTTACTTTTTTCCATTTGGATGATTACATTATGTGACCTTGATGTTAGAGTGAAATTCTTTCATCTCCACTGAAGATGTACTAAACCAAATTGCTGGACAGGCCAAGACTGCTTACCTGTGTTCTGTTCAAACAGAACGAAGCCGAGCTATTTGGCTTAGAAAGTTGGTGGTAACTAATACAGTCACTGTAAAAAAATGAAGCTGATTCCAAGTTTAAAGAGCAGCTCTGTTCATCCGTAAATAAATACAGTCTAAAGAGGTTTCAGCTGTTAACAGTTCTGAGTATCTACAGAAACTGCTAACATATTTGATCGCCACTACAAGCAGCTAATTTTTGTCCCGCGGGACCTGAACCCAACTAAGCTTATGTATGCACCATCTTCCAGCCAGAGAATCTGATCATCGCTAGTCTAAGCTGGAGTAGGATAAAGCATCAAATGAGTAATGACTTAAGAGCTAAAAGGACAGTTACTTGATCATCAATCAGAGAAAAAGTTGCTTAAGGGCAAATGCATATCTAAAAAGCAAGATACAAGTTAATACCCCACAGGAGTAATGAAAAAAGCTATTTAGATTATTAAACAAGCAAAACTGGGGGCCTTTAACTTGAAGGACAATTACATTCAAGTGTCACGTTACACAAATGTGATGTTTTCATTCCTTTGTTTCATACAAATTCTAGTGTCTACATGCAGACTTCAAACAAGTTTTGAAATTTCAACAGAAATACTTTCTCTGATTCATTTACTCCTCTCCTGCTTTACAGTGGCTCTAATAAATTTTATAATAAAACCAGTATTGTTACCTGCGGAGATGGAGAAAGGCTGTGTAGCACTGCTTACGAAACTCCTGGTACTGCTCGCTCTGCGTGCCTCCCATACCTTCCACCATCTCCTTATTCAGCTTCATCGGGGGAGGCAGTGGCTTCGGGTCCCGACCCAAAATATAACCGAAGTCAATGTGAAATAGTTTACCTGCAGAAGAAGAAAAGGCAAACACTTCATATGGTATCAAATCTTGATGCATAACTTAGGAAAAAAATAAATCTTTAAGTGCAATCTCTAGAAGATTCTAGGCAGCTCTCAAAAAAATATAATTCACTGTTTTCTGTAAAGTTGAGAACTGTGTATTTTAAATCTTCAGCTGCCAATTTGAAATTATTCATAGAATAGAATGGTTTATGAAATAAACCATTGGAATAGAATAGAAATGACGAGTATAAAAAAGAAAATTTTAAAAATTATACATTTAAAAAAAAGTAAAGCCTATTTTAAATTCATTAAGCGTCCTAACAAACGAGTCCTTCTGCCTTTTTTTTTTTTAAGCATACGGAGCATATTCATAAAGACTGAATTGATGTTCACACTGGTCAGTAGACAATAAACGCACAGTTATATAATAGAGACTACTAATTCTTTGCTCCTTCTTTAGAATTTGTTAGCAAATTAAAATATTAATTTACACACTGCATTGCTTTTAGTTCCCCATTTGGTCTCTGTGGCATGAAATATGTTATTTCGGTTCCACATAAAATTAACAAAAGGGAAGAAAAGACTCATGATCCTAAGAACAACTATTTGAAGCTGCTAAACGCCAAAGAAGATTTCAGAGCTGTTCCAAAATTCTTTGAGTTGAGTAAAGTTAAAATTTATCAACAGTTTTCAAATACACTGAAGAAACATCACTGCAATTCCAAATCTGAAACTGTATTTCAAATGCGCCAAAGTCTGTCTTGCACCTTTCCAGTACTAAAATACAGGAGTTACATCACTTGATCACCATCTTTCCCTTCTCAGATCAACTGACTACATTTAAAATGTTTCTGCAGCGCTAACTTGGCAAAGACTTATGTACGCTTCTGGCTTCAAACACACAAGGCAACTTCCCTTCCTATCAAGAGCCTGCATGCAGCTACACTGTTTACAGTATTGCTCAGACCTTTATTGGGGAGCATTCACTGTATTCCCCCCTTTCAACAGTACTGAACCGTAGCTGAGATACAGTAAGCAGCAAAGTGAACAACTGAAACACCAGCAATTTAAAAAAAACTCACAACTTAGTAAAAGTTTTAGATAATCTGAAGAGTACATATATTACGCAAATACCCCAACAAAAATGTTGTCAACAGAAATAAAAATAGTACAATTCTTAGGAAGCCAGTTTCTAGGAACATTCTTGACTCACTCCTTAAGTGGAAAATATTGACCATAGAAAGCAAAAAAGAAGTTTTTGAAAGTGTTCTGCAAACAAATTTCCAGTTTGAAATGCATAATTTAAACAGCGACCTGGGCCATACCAGAGCTGCATTACAAAAATATGGTACGAAAGCAGATAGGCCAGGAAACATTTATATAAAATATTAAAAAAAAAAAACAACGAACAAAAACCTAAACATATAAATGAAAAGTGTTCAGCGATTTCCTTAGGACAGAGAGAAACCATCTTCCTGAACACTGCAGTAATGAATAATCAGGATAAATTAAGAAGAACAAAAAGGTGATGTGTGTTTGAGCTGCTAGGTAGGTTAAGCTTTGTATCCAAAGCAAAGCTACCCAGTCACACTAACAAATTTAAGTTTTGTACGACTAATTTACAGAAGTGAATGAAACGTAGATACAAGATGGAAGATCTTTTAAAAAAGAAGATAGAAGATTATTAGCATGATTGTTATCTAGACAGTCACAGCACAAAACACACACAGTCTTGATTCAGAATTATGGAACTGAACAGCATTATGGACAGAGATCTGTTTGCCAAGGGGTATTTTAACCTGCAGCATCTGTATTCGTTTTAGTATTTTCACAAGCTTAGGTGCCCAGCACTCTTGAAAAAATGGAACAGTCAGCATTTTTCAATTAAGTCACCCCTCTTTGACCAACTTCATTGAATAATAATGTTGTCATTAGAGAAGGCTCCTTGAGATCTGTCATAAGCATTCTTCTTCAACCCAAGAAACAAACTCCATCACAGCCAGTTTTCTAAGGGAGAACACAAGGATGCTTAATAAGCAGGCAGAGTTTTCGCTAGTTGATAAATGCCACAACTATTATATTCTGCATATCTAATTGTGCTACAAAAAAACATCCCTTCCTTCAATAGTTTTTTCAAGCTGTAACAGGAGTTACTTTAAAAGCTCATTTTTGTACACTAACTTTTCAAAGTAGGCACTTTGATATATACACACCCCTTCCCACCATTAAGTTACAAAAAATGTTTAATTAAAAAGTTGGGGGGGGGTGGTCTGTTTTCTGTTCACTTCTTCAAACCTGTCACCTTGAAGAGTCAAGAGACAACACTGAATAAAACAGTAACTCTTGTGGCAGTAATTAAATCATTTTCTTGCAGTTTGCTCTGGGGATAGGGAATAAGAGGCGATAATTTATAATTGAAATTGGTAACAAAGATGCATCTAAACATTCAAAACCATTTGAATAGCTGACTGATAGACATTCATAGAAACTAAAGTATAAGATGAGGTCATCCTGCTAATGCATTTATAGCTTCCCTACTGTACTTCAAAATACAGATTTTTAGGCTGACTTAAAACATCAAAAGCTTTCATTTAAATACGTTAAATGTACCTAATAAAAATATTTAATAGTTTTCAAATCCATATACTAAACACAGACTTAACTCATTTTCATTCCTGCGGGTCCTCCAAGATCAGTTAAACCAGCATACCATGTTACAGAACATGGACAGAAGTCTCCCTTTGTGCCTGCCTGAAGCCACTACACCAGTGAAGACCAACCAGCCAGCTTGAGGGAAGACTGCAGTTTTAGACCCCTCTACAGAGAAGCCTGGCTTATATTCTCCTCGAGGACTTCACTACAATTGGAACAAGCAAAGAACAAGTCTGCTTTGGACAAGTGAAACTGGTTGTATATTTAATTCTGAAAATTAGGGGAAGTTTATATTATTATTTATGTTAATAAATAATAATTTTATCAAATTGATAAATTTGATGATTTGAAATCTTTTAAAACAAGATAAAAGGTTGCAAGTATCTCAAGTGATCACCCTAAGTAAAATTCATATCAGGGTATAACACTGAAAATTCCACTGTCACTATATTAATGAATGTGATGATTAGACTATCACTCAGTATAAGCTCTATTGCAAGGCTGGAGAAAGTTTCTGGTACCTCTTTGACACGGTGTAGTGCCAAAAAATACTAAATAATAGCAGAAAGAGTAGAATAAAAATAGGAACCTGAACACTCCAGCTCTATATAAACAACTGCTGTAGATTCTACAAACGTCAAACAAAAAAATATCACTTTGATCTAGAAGTTACTGTACTCAAGATATAATTTTAAAAGGACAGAAAATAAATTTAATAAGTTTTATTCTCTAAGAATTGAGCTTCACTGTGAATAGCGTATTGTCTCCTAACATAGCCACCACTCCTGATAAGCATCTGTAAAGATGGAAGCAAAAGCTGCCAGTAACAAGTTATGAATTATTTTTTCATCAACTTAAACATGTTTTTTTTCTTCAAGAGTACAGCTCCTCAAAACACTACTCATTTGAAATTTGTCAGCTTCAGGTACGACAATACTTGAAAAATAACCTTGTCTAGTGACAATAACTGAAAAACACTCTATAAGAGAATCTGCACCTTATTTGGGCAGTGTTGAGAGAGTTTAGTTCTGCAGTGTCACTCAACTCGTGCGGTTTGTATTTGAAAGTTCTGGAAGTTATGTAATCTAGTTGATAAAAGCATAGCTTCTCAACTGAATTTAGAAGATTACTCTTTTAAACCTCTCTTTCACAGAATCACAGAATGGTTGAGGTCAGAAGGGACCTCTAGAGGACATCTGGTCCAACCTCCTGGCCAAGCAGGGACACCTAGAGCCGGCAGCCTTGCCCAGGACCATGCCCAGACAGTTTATGACTATCTCCAAGGATGAAGACTCCACAACCCCTCTGGGCAACCTGTGCCGGTGTTCTGTCACCCTCACTGTAAGTAATAATCCATACTCATAGCATGGAATTTATATACCATTATCATCTATTCTCCCAGTAAATTAGACGGCTTGTGAACTTTGTGTAACAACCACTTTTCTAAAGGCTTTGAACTCCCATGTTTTATAAAACAATTACATTTCCTTCCTCCAATGACAGGACAAGGGGCAATGGGTGCAAGCTGGAGCACAGGAGGTTCCACATTAACATAAGGAAAAGCTTGTTCACTGTGAGAATGACAGGGCACTAGAACAGGCTGCCCAGGGGGGCTGTGGAATCTCCTTCTCTGGAGACGTTCAAAACCCACTTGGATGCGTTCCTGTGCGACCTGCTCTAGGTGGTTTTGCTCTGGTAGGGGGGTTGGACTAGATGATCTTTCGAGGTCCCTTCCAGCCCCTGACATTCTGTGGTTCTGTGAATATACAGTGTCAATGCCATAACACATACACTTCAATCTCATGGACCATCACGTTTTTACCTCAGCTTCTAATCCTTCTTCTTCAGATTGATTCCATCTTAATTTAAAGGGCTTTTAATTATTAGACATGCTTAAAAATTAAGGACAAAACTGGACTTCCAGTTTTGATTTATTACTGTTCCTGAATGACTGCTAAATCATATGGGTGAGGTTTTTTTTTGTTTGACTCATGTTTTAAACTAAAAGAAAAGTTACTTAAGACAACAGTCAAAACAGATTTCAGCCTCTAAGCCTCTTACATTCTTGTAGGACTAGACGTAAAGGCCTTGGATTTCTAATATTTAGGCAGTGAAATCTTTAGACACCTATTTAGAAATCTGAGTTCCTTATAAAAAATGGGGGATTTTAGGCATCTGAGGGAAAAAATACATAACAATTCAGGAAATACCTTGAGACCACAGACAAGTACGCATGAACTTCCTGCCCTGTTTCAAGGCTGGGAGCAGCACTATATGTAAACACCTACATATAGTTCAAGATACACAGCTTTCGACAAACATTTCTGATGTTTAAAGTGGCACACTCCTCA